CAGGTATGCTACTCGTAGATACTTAGGTGGTTGGTGCGGTGTTGGGCGGCAGGCCTGGTGCATCTTAATATGGAGGGATAGCTTCCTGCACATTTGACTTGCCTCTCTGATCGAGCCTTGCGGCTTTGTGTGCACAGGTCCGTCCACCCTTGGAATGTGCTTTGTGATCCTCTGACTCCACTGACGTCGTTTTGAACAATCTTCAGACGTTTTTTTCTGCGCTCGAAAGTTATCTATGTTCGTCTAGCACTCCTGTTTCCTCTGCTCCCCGCACCCGCGGTCGTCCCCGCACTCCGCGCTCCGCGCGCCACCCTCTGCACCCCGCACCCCGCTCCCCGCACCTGCGCTCCAAACTCTGCACCCACCTGGGCTCACCGCAACTTGTACCCCGCGAGCTGTGGGCATACTATGTCAAACCTCAGTATAAGAATACGTTAGTGAATTCCCCCCCACCCTCCAACATCTGCTAGGGTACTCTCTCCGCCTCCCTCCCCACTCCGCCAGTTTCCGGTCTGCCCGCACCCCCTACCCCAGCTCCCCCCTCTTACCTTCCCCCCATCCCCCACTTTCCCAAGTTCTCCTTACCCCCATCCTTACCCTCCACTTCCCGAGCATACCGCTGGAGTATCTTTCACTCAGTCCCAAACCCCGCCAATTCCCGCGCGGGCCCACTTCTCCCCACCCGTCAGTCCCCCAGGGTATTATTTCCGCCCGGGATTCGGCAACGGCAGCAGCTCGTGGCACGTGCACTTGCAGTACGGCGGGTGGTGCACCACCCTGGGGGAATGCAGGTGGCGCAGCCACACGTGGCTCGGGTCTTCTAACGAGACTCAGCAAAACCAGAACCCCTGGAAATTCGTGAGTGCTGTGTTGAACCAGTAGGGCATGAGAGAATCTGTCTAAAGATTGGTTTTGGAGAATGCTGCATCTACCTCGCAAATAATCTTCCGTTACACATGGTACGTCGAATTTCTCTCACCCAGTGTTCCCTTACTTTCTTTTACTTACCAGTGAAAGAATCAAAATGCTATGAACCTGTGTTACACCGTACCCTGCAGGCGAATTGGGGTTACATGGGTATCCTCAGCCTGAATCCAGTCATGAACCCGCGTTTTTACAACTGGAATCTTGTGGTCCCGATTTATTGCGACGGTGGCGGATTTGCCGGGCGCGCGGGGTTCAAAAACTGGAGCGAGACCGAGGGAGTGTATTTGGACGGTTGGAAAATCATCAAAGCTGTTCTCACAGGTGTGTTGACAATTCCCGAGGTCCAATTGTACTCGTTTCTGGAATCACCGAAACTGTTAACAGGGTTCTCTTGACTATATCAATCAGCTTACAGCATCTTCACCCTGACTTCAAGTTCAGCCGCATATCGCTTAGAATGATTTGCAGCATTCATGCTCCCGTCGTGTCAATATGTCTTCAAACCCTCTTTTTGGAAGGCAAGAACTGGTTAATAAACTCGTCTGCTGCCAATTTTGTCAACCTATATCTTGCACCTCAGTCAAAGACTTCTTTCACCACCAACCTGTGTGAATTTGTTCAGACGTGACAGATTCCAAGGGCCTGAAGACGGCGTCGCAGGTGCTGCTGTCGGGGGTGTCGGCGGGAGCAGAGGCGGTGGTGACTCTGTGCGACCAGCTGCCCGCCCTCGTGCCCTCCGCCAAAACCACCAAGTGCCTCATGGACTCGGGCTTCTTCCTTGGTGAGCCGACTCTCCCCGCCCTGATGTCTCCCCCATTTTACTCCCTGCTCGAAGCAAGTGTCTCATGGAGTCGGAATTCTTCCTTGGTGAGTTGACTCTTCCCATACTACCTCCCTCCCTCATTCGTCAACCACCAAGTGTCTCATGGACTCGAAATTCTTCCTCGGTGCTTTCACAAGTGAAATCTTCCTCTTTCCTCTTTCCACGAGTGCCTCACATCTTCAGCTTCTTCCTCGGCGTGCCGACTTCGCCCTGGCCTTTCTCCTTACCTGCTTCTACGAAGTTGTTCATGAACTCTGGTTTCTTATCTCTGTGAGAAATGTGTGCTTCTCTCATGGATAGCTCCGCCTCCCCTTCCACCACCAAGTGCCTCATGGACTCTCGTTTTGCCTCACCAGATTGAAAACTGACTCACTTTCTTTGAACCGGGTGAATTTCTGATACTCTGTTTGACTCTGTCTCTGCTTGACTCTGCAGTCTCTGCTTGACTCTGCAGTCTTTGTCTGACCGTGCAGTCTCTATTTGATTCTGTGTGTCTCACCCATGTGGCCGTGCAGACTCATTGGACGTGAACAAGCAATCCGCGTTCCGCAGGAGGATCAAGCAGGTGGCGGAGCTGCACGATTTCATTGGCAACCCTCGCTGCAGCCGAGGTGAGTGCAAGTGCTTTCACAGGGGGGTGGCACGCGAGTTGGGTAAGAAAGGGTTTTTCACAGGTGCGTGCTGACGTGGCTGTATCAGCTCGCTAATCTGAGCTGGCACCTGTGTGTGAGAGCGATGTGTTTTATTCTCTAGTGATTGGATGGGCTCACGCAACTTCTTTCCATACCTGCCGCAGTATTGCTATCGTTCTCAGCCATTCCATACATGTGTAGCAAGATTGCTGAGTAAAGTAGCAATACTTGCGATCCCCATTTTCTTCCCTGGTAAAAACTCCATGACTGTCACATCGAACATCGTCTCGTTTAGCCTTCATCCCCCTTAACACTAGATTCAATCCAAAATATTTTGTCACTGCCTCAGCATCCATTCTCCATCCCTCCTGAAAGCTTGCATTCAGTTCACCGACCATTAAAACGTCCCTCGGAGTACCTTCTTCATTCTGACACTCCCTCCCAACAGCCACTAACGAGACCAAGAAGTGGCGCTGCTTCTTTCCGGAGTACTCCCTTCCGTTCGTTCGATCGTCCTTCTTCATCCTCAACTCATTATTCGACGTCAAGGCCCTCACACTTGGTAACGAGCTGCCAGCAAGTAACATGACATACGCTTACGAGTGTCTACAGGAAATTATGGATATGCCTAACCTGAGGCGGTCCATTCCAAGCACACCATATAAGGATCTCGCATTTAGGAATACGAATAGGAAGTGTAAGCTCCCGTCTAGTAGGGCTGTGCTTGCATACTCGCAGAAGATGTGGACGACCGTAGGTCGCATGCAGGATAAGAAGCTGAAGGCGTTTCTTGCTTGGTCTAACAAGCATGGAATAATGGTGGATGGTGCTTGGGCCACCATGAAAGAAGAAGGGGTGTTTCTGCGTGATGCTGTAGCAAACTGGTATTTTTCTTCATAAATAGAATGTGTTTTTTAATAAATTAAATGTGTTGTAATCTTAATTTATAGATAGAACATTGTTTACGGTTTCTAACGTTTTTTACTAACATCCAGTAGCCAACTATGTACATGTCATGGTACGCCTCTAACCAGGTTTTGCATTGGTCAGGCCAGGTTATTTTAGCATATGTTATCACCACCATGATATTTTTTTAGAACGTATAACATTACAAAAATGCATACATTCACAATCGTAACTGACCATCTGATATACAGTAATGCCTGTTTCTGGTTTGTCAGGACCTCCTGATTGGTTGTCAAATTTCACATTTTCTGTATGAACCAACGTGGCTCTCCGTGTTACGCGCTGGCGTTTGGTGGTGGCGCATGCAGACGCTATTCGAACCGCATTCCATGAAACCAGAATTCCATGCGATTCGCCTTCCTCAGCTTCTGGAGGCGGTTTGACGGAGATTTCTGTCAACTCAACAACCGTGGAAATTCGTGCGCCGAAATTCGTGCTTCTACCACCAGAACCAAATTTCTGCTTCCTTCTCCAAAAACGCTTGTGGCCCCGCCGCAAGAATGACCCTCCTGCGTGCGTGAGTGATGCATGCTTCATGGCTGATTCACCCTTGACCAAGCACAAAGACCGACAGCTTGCGCTGGACCAACCCCGTACGAACAGCTATGGTCGGGTGGCTCAAGAACGAAGCCACACGCGTTTCTCATTGGCTCACCACCATCGTGGTCAGCAATTTACTTTCAGGCTCACCCGCCACGGTCGGTTATGTACAACAACTCTCCTGGATGACACCCATATGCCGCCACTCGGCATTGTTTCTTACTACCGGTGCACACATACCATCATCACAATAGAGACAAGCAAATGACGTGATTGTACTAGTAAGCTGAACGTAGTCAGTCAGAGTTGCTCGTCAATAGCGACGCCTAGTTCGTCCCATCGCGCTACATAGATGCAACCTTTCGCTGCCGTTCGCTGCCGTTCGCTGCCGTGAGCGTCAAGATGACGACGAGCTTTAGTATTCGTTCTCTCAATCGCGCTGCCACTGCGACGCTTTGTGTTTTGCTGCTGACATGTCTCGATTTATCGGCGGGGGAAGTGGGGAAGCCGATGTCAGCGCCCGTCACCTCCGCTGGGACGGGACTGACGTTCACATTGCTGCCCAGAAACCGTTTTGGCGCGAAATGTCTCGACGGAAGGTAAGCGATTTAAGATATGGTGGACAGCGTTACTGCGCAGCCTCCTTCTCTTTGGCGGTTGGTGAACGGCGCCAGAACAGCGCAGTGGCGCGGGACACATTGGCACCCAGAAACGGCGCAGCGGCACGCGACGCAGTGGCGCTCGAAAGGCGCAGTTGGCCGCGACACAGTGGTGCGGCGGCTGGTGAACGACGCCCGAACAGCGCAGTGGCGCGCGACAAAAATCCGCTACGGTTTGACAAAACGCGATTGTTTCTCTTCCCTTCCCTCTACCCCTTCTCTCCCTTCCCCTTTCTTTCCTATTTCCCTTGGTTGACCGACTATCCTCAGAGAGGCTACTACTTTCGGCTAGGGCCAGGCGCGGGCAAGGACTCGTGCCATCTTTCTGCCCTTCGGCGGATGGTGCGCGGCGCGCGCAAAGTGCAAGTGGCGCGCCCCACTACGGCTCGACGAAACACAGTAATTTTCTTTTCCCTCCCCATTCACCCCGTTAATCTGTTTCTCTATCCTCAGTCCGCCAGGCTACTACTTCCGGCCAGGCTCCGGTGCGGGCAAGGACTCGTGGCACGTCTTTCTGCCCTTCGGCGGATGGTGCACGACGCCCGGCGAGTGCAAATGGCGCGCCACGCAGATACACTACGGCTCGACGAAACCGGCACTGCAAGCCACCAACCCTTTCAACAACGTAAGATCCCGATCCAAAGTGCCCGAATTCCCGTTAACTCTCAATTCCCTAATAACTCTCGATTCCCGTAAGCTTCCGATCAACCACAACGCTCTCTCCTAGTACCCTATTTTGATTCGGGGCAAAGGTAGGCATACGGTACTCGGAGCTGGTGAGTGCAAACGCCATCACATCTCGATTATCAACCCCCGTAAGAAACGCCAGCTCCCAAGCAACACTGAAATGCGACTCTGAAGGCGGCTCGAAGGTCGACCAGACGAAATCTCTTAGGGTGGGTCCAGCGCGTTCGTATTTCGCTCGTTCTGTGCGGTTACTCTTGTTGCGTCACGGTGCGAAACGGTGAAGCTTGAAAACCGCTGTGCACCGTCTGGAATCGTCTTGCGCCACGACTGATCTGTAAACGAACGAGCTTGACCCGCCCTTAGCTCGACTCGTCATTAACAGCGTAAACTCCCGATATCCGTTTCTCACGTTTCACCTCGCTTCCTGTTTCCCCTTCCCCACTTGTCGAGCTTCCCCATTTAAAACTCGTGCACCTCCCTCTCCCGATGCACGAATAAAATTTGCCATGAAAGCTTCTGAACATAGTAACCCGTGAGTTGACACCAAAGTGCTGCTGTATGGCACTTTTTGGTGCCGATTCGCGATTGTTTTCCACTTTTGAAGCGCCTCAGAAGTTGCCATAAAAGCTTCAGAATATAGTAACCCTTGAGTTGAAACCTAAGTTTTGCTGTATGGCACTTGTTGGTGGTGATTCGCGATTGTTTCCCTCCAGTGAACCCTTGTCCACGCCTTTCCGCTCCCCTGTTTTTGTTTCCTTCAGGCCTTGCAGGGATACCGCGGAATTTTAAGTACGAACAAGACGGACAACCCACGGTTTTACAACTGGAACTTAGTTATGCCCGTGTACTGCGATGGGGGCGGATTCGCGGGGCGCGCGGGGTTCAAGAACGTGAGCGGAAGCGAGGGAGTGTACCTTTTGGGTTGGAATATCATCAAGGCCGTTCTCACAGGTGGGCTAGCAAATACCAAGGATTTCTGTACCCGCTTCGGGTTGGAATAGCATTTTTTTACGGAGTTGCGAGATGCAATTTGTGGGTTACAGCGAAACGTCTACAAATTTATGTCTCTCCCAGGTGCTGCTGTCGGGGGTGTGGAAACAGCAGCACTACCAGCGTCTCACCAGAATGTCTCCCTATGTTCCCACGATATTCCCCATTCCTGAATGTCCCTGCAGATGTGACTGACCGACGGGGCCTGAAAACGGCGTCGCAGGTGCTGCTGTCGGGGGTGTCGGCGGGAGCAGAGGCGGTGGTGACTCTGTGCGACCAGCTGCCGGCCCTCGTGCCCTCCGCCAAAACCACCAAGTGCCTCATGGACTCGGGCTTCTTCCTCGGTGCGTTCACCCTCCCTATACTACTCCCCCCCTCCAATATTCAACCACCAAGTGCCTCATGGACTCGGGCTTCTTCCTCGGTGCGTTCACCCTCCCTATACTACTTCCCCCCTCCAATATTCAACCACCAAGTGCCTCATGGACTCGGGCTTTTTCCTTGGTGAGCCAGATTGCCCCGTCCTTCTCCTCTTCCCTTCAACCACACCAAGTGCCTCAAGGACTCGGGATTCTTTCTCGTTCATGCATTGCCCTGCCTTCCCTTCAACCACCAAGTGTCTCAACGGCTCTTGCTTCTTTCCGAGGTGAGTCCACACCATCTCCACCCTGCCATTTCCCCTCTCCCTTCACCCCATGGACCCGCTTTTTCTCGTGGTGGGTTCATGCATAGCCCTACCTTCCCTTTCACTGCCAAGTGCCTCATAGAATTTGGCTTCTTTCTGAGTGAGTTGGATTCCCGCCTTTCCTGCTTCCACCAGCTTCCTCCTTGGTGAACTGTCCTTCTTTATTTTTATTTTACCACCAAGTATGCATCATGGTCTCAGGGCTGAGTTGGACTGGGGCTCCTTCCTAAATAGCTTGGTTCTTCTCTGCTTACGCCTCGTTGCATCTCCAACCATGAAAGCATCACAGACCACCACGTTCAGCCTCTCCCATGCTCTCCATCCAACCCCCCTTCCCTTGATCCCCTCTCCCTGGTTTTACCTTTCCTCTCGTTCAGCTCCGATACCCCTTAACTCACCATCTTCGAATCACCTCCTTTCCTACCCTTTTCAACTCCTTTCCTTTCCTCTCCATCCAACCCCCCTTCCCTTGATTATCCCCTGTTTTCCAGATGCGCTGGACAGAAAGAAGAAGCACACATTCAAAAAAACCATTATCCGGATGGCGGCACTACACGACTTTATCGGCAACCCAAGATGTGCCAGAGGTAAGTGATGCACATCTGGAGTGCCCTATATTGTGCTATATTGGGCTATATTGTGCCCTATAGCCTATCAGAGTTGGCACATCTGGAGGTAAGTAATGCAGTGGTTTGACAGGCTGGCGTAGTGATGAGAGCTAAGAATGCTGACGCTTATTCAGTGGTGGTTTGCAGGTATTTACAGACACATGCATTGAAATAAAAGCTTGTCCGTGTGTGTACGCATGTTACTCCCGTGCGAATGCACATTCGCAGCACAAGATGCTACGGACAAGTGGAAATGTTTCTTTCCCGAGCACGCGACCAAGTTCATCAAGTCGCAAGTCTTCATTGTCAACTCGCTCTTCGACATCAATGCCCTCATCCTCGGTAACCAGCTTCCCCCCATGAACCGAACCTACGCCCTGCAGTGCATAAACGAGGTTATGAGTATACCAGATTTGAAGAAACATATTGAGGCTAATACTACATCGCCTCAAGAACTTGCAGCAAAGAACGCAAACAAAAATTGCACATCTGCAGAGTCGCAGGCGATGATTGGGTTCGCACAGCAGCTACAACAAACCACAAGCTTGTTGAAATCAGCCAAGTTCAGCAGTTTTATAGCATACGCACCTAATCATGGTACCATCAACTACGAAACCTGGAACACGTTAGTCTCAAAAGGTTCTAGTTTGAGGGAGACAGTAGAGAATTGGTACTTTGGTTCTTGATCAGGAATTATTGTTAATGCAGTATATGTATTGTTTGTTTAACATTATGAGTAAATTGCTGTATGCTAATTGGTTTGTTGGCGTCACGGCAATAATAGGAGCAGGTGTTGCAGCAGCATACCATAGATGACAAGATGAGCGAACGAAGACTGTCAGGGGATAAAAAAACACTGGAGCATCGCACTGTAGCATCACATTGTGCTACAGCTGCAACTGTGCCAGCAGCACTGCAAAATAAGCAGCTATGTGGACTACCAGAGAGGCATTTGTCAAAGTGTTCTACAGGTCATCAATTTGACAGTTTTCCAACAGCGCAGTTAACAATATTCACTTGTAAGGAGTCCCAGCAATGTTTGCAATCCCTTTCTTCGCCAGTCTGAACCTCTCTTCTAGAACCTTCTCCTCCTCCCCTCCCTTTGCCACACCAGCAGCTGCCCCTCCACCCTCACTCCCCCCCTCGCTCCTGATATACTGTAGTAGTTGGCGTGTGGACGGCGCGTGTGGCGAGAGATGGGCGGCGAAGAAGAGGAGGATTCCGTCTCGTAGCGGGCCGAGGGTGGTTGGGGCGGCGATGCGGGAGAAGATGGACCAGAGGGTGGCGGGGGGGAAGGAGGAGAGGAGGAAGAGGAAGAAGAGGCGGAAGTGGGTTGCTATGCGCGCGTGCATTGCTGCTGGGTCCGCGAAATCAACAGGCTGAAGGGAAGAGGGGGAAGGGGGAAGAGGGGGAAAGGGGAAGAGGGGGAAGGACGGGGGGTGGGGTTGAGATACAAGACGAGCCGGAAGGAAGAGGAAGACGAGGCGTAAGTGCAGGGCTACGTGCTACGGCAGCTGGGTCTGCGAAATCCACAGCCTGTGGGGGAGAGAGGGAGGGAAGGGAGGGGGGAAGGGGACATGGGCGAAGGAACGGGGGATTGGGGGGGGGGGAGAGGGGGACGTGTGAGGAGAAAAGAATAGGAAGTTGGCGGATGAGGGCGAGAGAACGGACAGAATAACGGAAGAAGAAAGGGAGGAAATAAACAAAAGAACGGAAGAGACTTGGGGGGAAAGGAGGAGAGGGTGAAGAGGAAGAAGAGACGGAAGTGGGTTGCTATGCGTGGGTGCATGGCTGTTGGGTTGCTATGCGTGGGTGCATGGCTGTTGGGTTGCTATGCGTGGGTGCATGGCTGTTGGGTTGCTATGCGTGGGTGCATGGCTGTTGGGTTGCTATGCGTGGGTGCATGGCTGTTGGGTCTGCTCCACAAGCTGGGGAGAGGGAGAGGGGGGAAGGACGGGTGTATGGGGTAGAAAAGAAGGGAAATTCAGGGGTGAGGAGAAAAGAGGAAGATTTGTCAAGGAGAGAAGGAAGAGGAAGAAGGAAGATGAGGCATAAGTGCAGTGCTATGTGCATGGCTGCTGGGGAAGTACCTTGCAGGCACTTGAGGGAAAGCAAAGCAGGTACCTTGAGCAGCGCCAGGGACAAGGCATGGTTGCCTTGCCGACCATCTGGGCGGCAAACTGAGCGAGATGCAGGGAGCGGCTGGTTGGGTTTGCTCACATGGAGGCGCAGGGCCCTCAGGTGAATGAGCCTTGACACGGTACCTTGAGCAGCGCGAGAGACAGCGCGTGGTTGCCGACGATCTGGGCGGCGAACTGAGCGAGGTGCAGCGAGCGAGTGGTGGGTTAGCTTGAGTGGGATAAGCACGGTACCTTGAGCAACGCGAGGGAGAGCGCGTGGTTGCCCACGATTTGGGCGGCGAACTGAGCGAGGTGCAGCGAGCGGCGGGGGTCCATGTCGGGAAGCTGCTGGTAGTGATCCCACAGGCAGTACTGCAGACTGAACTTGTGACTCCGAGCATGGCCACATAGGCGGGCGGCTAGGAGACTGTAGTACTTGTTAAAGTGCCGCTCCTGCATACAGCACTCCACTAGAACCCTCAGAATCTCCCGGTCCTGTGGTGTTAGAAATCCGGAGAACCAACAGGGAGGGATGGGCGGAACAGGGAGGGATGGGCGGAGCAGGGGGGTCGGAAAACAGTCTCCACATAGCCGCCCGGCTAAGAGACCGTAGTATTTGTTGAAATGGCGCTCCTGCATACAGCACTCCACCAATACCCGCAGAATCTCCCTGTCTTGTGGTGGTGGAAAGGGAGGTGGAAAGGGGAAACCAGAGGCACAGGTGTGAAAGAGTGAGACGGAGTGGGAAGGGCAGGGATCAATGTCAGGGTTCATGTTAGGAGGCTGCTGGTTGTGGTCCCACAGGCAGTCCTGCAGTCCTTCTTGCCTGGTAAACTCACTCTAAGGAGTATCTCAAAGGCATCGGCATAGTCCTCTGCGCTCATAATCACACAGAACACCGCCCATGAACCCACTAGTGTGGGCCCCACCCGACTGAGTCAATTCAGCCCCTTCCTAGAAAGAATCAGACAGTGCAGAGACGGGCTAGGGAGGAGCATCACAAGCAAGAGAACACACCTGCTTGCCTGGCAGACCCAGCCTCAGCAGTTTCTCAAAGGCATCGATATAATCCTCGGCGCTCATAATCACACAGAACACCGCCCGCCTGGCGTCCGTGTTCATCCTCTGCGCCGCCGCGGGTGGTGGTGGTGGTGGTCATGGCGGTGGTGCTATCTACCCGCCTTTCAACTGAGAGTCTGTGCTCATCCTCTGCAGCGCTGTGGGTGGTGGTGGTGGTGGTTGCTGTTGTTGTTGTTGTCGTGGTGATGGTGCTGGTGGGGGTTAGGAGCATCACGGGCACAAGAAGAACGCACCTGCTTGCCGGGTAAACCCAGCCTGAGAAGTTTCTCAAAAGCATCGATATAATCCTCCGCGCTCATAATCACACAGAACACCGCCCGCCTGGCGTCCGTGTTCATCCTCTGCGCCGCCGCCAGCTGCATCAGCCTCTCAGCTTCCGCCACGTCAGCAGCATCCAGCAGCGCGTTCCCCGCCAGCTGGACCGCCAGGCTGGCGCTGCCACTGCTGCCCCCCAGTGCTGCTGACGTGGCGGGTAGGGAGCCGAGGGGTTGGGAGGAGGAGGAGGAGTGCCACCATTGGCCATGCTTGTGCGGGTCAATCAGGCGCTGCCACGTCAGCGACCGTAGCTGAACGATTTCCACTGGACGCTGGGAGGGAAGAGGGGGAAGAGGGTTGGAGGAGATGGGGAGGAAGAAAGGGGGTTGGGAAGGAGTTCGAGGAAGGGAGGGGTGGTTATGATTGCAATGATCGGGCGGTTATGATTGCAATGATCGGGCGGTTATGATTGCAATGATCGGGCGGTTATGATTGCAATGATCGGGCGGTTATGATTGCAATGATCGGGCGGTTATGATTGCAATGATCGGGCGGTTATGATTGCAATGATTATGATTTATCCATACCGATGAAAGAACGAGGGGGAGACGAGTAAGGGGCGAGTTGACCTTTGTGTTTGACTCAAGAGACACCTACACAACACTATACAGTGACACAACCCACTGCAGTACATCACACCGCACCACACCAAATTGCACCGCACTTCATTGCATCACACCACACTTACCTTGAGCAGCCATTTCTGCAGGCGGGAAACGGCCGTGCTGCCATCACTAGCCTCTGCTCCCCCTCCCTTTGTAAACACGCTCACCGCCCCCTTCCCCTTCCCCTTCCCCGCAGCCCCTCCCCCTACGGCCGCGCCCCCTCCCCCCATCACTGTCCCCCCTGCTCCCCCTGTTCCTCCCATGGTCCCACTGCCTCCCCTGCGACCGGCGTTGCGCGGCGCTCGGTTGTTCTTGATGTCCGTGATGGTTTCGAGCATGAACTCCACCTGCAAAACATTTGATTGGGGGGAGGGTGTGCAGATTATAAAGGCTTGAGGGGTGGAAGGAAGGGCGATAAAGGGGCGGCATGAGGGGCAGTACACGGGGGGGCAGGTGGCATGTGGCGCTCGGTTGTTCTTGATGTCGGTGATAGTTTCGAGCATGAACTCTACCTGATAGGGGGTGAGGGTGGAGGGGTGAGTTCAGGTTACGGCAACACGCAGTGCAAGGGGTGACACGGGGCGCTCGGTTGTTCTTGATGTCTGTGATGGTTTCGAGCATGATCTCCACCTGTGATGTTGGGGGCTGTGAGGAGAAGAAAGGGTTGGCATGAGAGGTTGCCTCCCCCCATCCCTGTTCCCCCTGCCCCTCCTGCACCTCCCATGGTCCCACTTCTTGATGTCTGTGATGGTTTCGAGCATGATCTCCACCTGGGATGGGGGGTGCAGGAAGGTGGGTGCGAGCAGGATCGGAGTGACGATAACGGACAGTGCAAGGGGTGAAATGATGAGGCAGTCTGTTGTTTTTTATGTCTGTAATTGTTTCGAGCATGAAATCCACCTGGGATTCGGGGGGGGGTTGTGAGGAGTACAAAGGGGTGCCATGGCTTGAGGGGTGGAGGGGGCGGGGTGAGGAATGCAATGGGAGACACACAAGGTGTTTGGGTTCTTGATGTTTGTGATGGTCTCGACTCAAGCATGAACTCTACTTGGGAAGAGGGGGCGAGGGGAGGGATGGTGTGGAAGGGTGATAAAGGGGTGGCACGAGGGGCAGTGCAGGGGGTGGCACGAGAGGTCGGTTGTTCGTAATGTGGGCGATCGTCTTGAGTATAACGGAGGGAGGGGTGAGTATAATGGAGTGGCATCGCATGGCATGTGGGGGAAGGGGCAGGTCAGGTCAGGGCAATGGGGACGACCGAGGGCAGCTGTGCAAGGGATGGCATGGCGGATGGCACAACGGATAAACCTAAACCTCCTGCTTCTGGCCGCTGCACTGCACCCACCCGCTTGCTCAACACTGGCGCTGCTGCCTTGGCGCCACCAGAAGCAGGAGCAGCCTCGCTTTGCGCCTCTTGAGCTTGCTTCCTTATGTCCGCCGCCTTGCTCTGCACAGCCAGGATGAACTCCTTCATTGCTACAGGGTCATCCGCTCTCAGGGCAAGGCCGCATGCTGGCATGGGGAGGTAGGTAGTGGAGGGGTGTGGGAGTGGTGGGAGAAGTAGAGGTATATCAGCTGCCTTGCTCTGCACGGATAGGATGAACTCCTTCATTGCTACAGGATCGACAGCTCTCAGGGCAAGCCCGCATGCTGCAACAGGTTGGGCGGAGCGGGGTGGGGAGGAGGTGGGGGAACAACAGTTAGCAGATGCAATCGCTCATTTCCTGGAAGCATCAAACCAAATCCTTTATTGCCAGGGCCCACAGGGTCATTCACAGTCATTGCCCACGGCCTTCGCTCATTTCATATGTGTGTGTGTGTGTGTGTGTGTGTGTGTGTGTGTGTGTATATATATATGTATGTACGTATGTATGTATAGTATAGATACGTATGTCTATATATTGGAAAGCTGGCTGCTTCATTGGGAGAAAGAACAGAAAAACATAGAAACTGACTGCAAAGACGGAAAGCCCGTTTGCTATGTTGTTAGTGAATCGGCACTCACACTGTAGCAAGTGAATCATGGCAGCGACATCCAGCTCTCTGAATCCATCAGTGAGGCGAGCTAAAAACGAGTATATCACCTCTCTGTAAGGAAGGAAGTGGGTTGATGAACAGTGACGCAATGGAGTAGAGTAGAGGGATGAATGGGGGTCATGTATACTTCTGCAACAATAACCATATTCAAGCTATGCAAATTAAGTCGAACTCACTCACAGCGCGGGCAATTTGAAGACGTAGAGGTAGGCGAGAAGCCTTGTGAGATCGGCTTTCAGGATGGTCAACTTTCAAAAGGCCATCTCAATAATTTGACTTCAGGCAAACTTTGAAAAGTTCAAAGTCACTCTCGCGGGGCGAGAAGCATGGTTCTTTTGAGAATTCTCAAAAGTCACTCCAATAAAGCGAGAAGCATGGTTCTGCTCGTGGAAGTCGACTGCGGTGGGATTGACTTCCGCGACAGTCGACTTTCAAGAAGGTTGACCTTTGATAAGTCATCGCAGATCGGTAGTTTGGATTCTCAGCAGACTCAGAAAAGACTCACGGTGCGAGCAGCTTGAAGACGTAGAGGTAGGCAAGCAGCATGGTAAGATTTCCTCTTAAGATGATTGACCTTCAAAAGGTCATCTCACTAGGTTTCAAGAGGCGAGCAACAAGGTGAGATAAGACTGAGTTTCAAACTGGAAGACTTTTGAGAGGTCATCGAAGTAGTTTGGAAGGTCAGAAAGGCTCACGGTGCGAGCAGCTTGAAGACGTAGAGGTAGGCGAGCAGCATGGTGAGATTGCGCAGGCCCAGCGCTTCATCTGCTTCGTACAGCGCCTGATGGCAGAGTTCAATAGGCGGGGAGAAGGGGAAGGGGAAGGGGCGACGTGACAGACGGCATAATCCTTGAAAACATGGTCTCCCATCTTCCCTGCTGCGAGCAGCATGGTGCGGTTGCGCAGACCCAACGCTTCATCTGCTTCATCTGCTTCGTACAGAGCCTGATGGCAGAGTTCGATGGGAGAAGGGGAAGGGAAAGGGGCAACCGACGGACGGCATAATCCTTGAAAACATGGTCTCCCATCTTCCCTGCTGCGAGCTGCACGGTGCGGTTGCGCAGACCCAACGCTTCGTACAGGGCCTGACGGCAGTGATGCGGCTCACCTTGAAGCGAGTGGCTCACCTCGAAGCGAGTGGCTCACCTCGAAGCGAGTGGCTCACCTTGAAGCGAGTGGCTCACCTCGAAGCGAGTGGCTCACCTCGAAGCGAGTGGCTCACCTTGAAGCGAGTGGCTCACCTCGAAGCGAGTGGCTCACCTCGAAGCGAGTGGCTCACCTCGAAGCGAGTGGCTCACCTTGAAGCGAGTGGCTCACCTCGAAGCGAGTGGCAAGCGTGGCGGCGAAGTTGGCTGCAAAGTCGATCCCAACGGTGGCGGCAGTGGCGGTGATGAATGCCGCAAACACTGCTGCGTACCTGCAGTGGGTGAGGTGGGGAGAGAGCAAGACAAAGCGGCAGACTTGAGAGAATTCGTGACAATCTCTCAACGGTTGCAGCGATGAACACCGCAAACACTGCCGCGTACCTACAGCAGTGGTTGAGGGGAGAGAGCAAGACAAAGCGGCATAGAGAGCACTCGCTAGGTGCCTCAGAAGAGATCGAGATGGCGTAGGGGGCACACTGGACTGGGTCTGGAGCTAGATGTGAGAAAGAAGGGCAGTGTGGTGCGTCTGGACAGCACAGAGGGCACGCGACGTAACTGCTCATTGCCGCGGGGTGCGTTGGTGCAGGCTGTTATGACCTCGCCTGTCACCAGCTCTGCCACCAACGACCGCTTGTGCAGCTGTAGGGGGACGGGCACGCAGGGAGAGAGAGGAGGGCGAGAGAGGAGAGGAGGTTGAGAGAGGAGGGTGAGAGAGGAGAGGAGGTTGAGAGAGGAGGTTGAGAGAGGAGGGTGAGAGAGGAGAGGAGGTTGAGAGAGGAGGGTGAGAGAGGAGAGGAGGTTGAGAGAGGAGGGTGAGAGAGGAGGGTGAGAGAGGAGGGTGAGAGAGGAGAGGAGGTTGAGAGAGGAGGGTGAGTGAGAGAGGAGGTTGATAGAGGAAAGGGAAGAAGGGCGCAACTGTGAAGCACAAAACAGAACTGCTCATTGCCGCATGGTGCGTTGGTGCAGGCCGTGCCATGCCACGCCATGCCATGCCATAGCATGTTGGGAGATGGGGGAGGGAGGGGATGTCATTCTAGAAAGGAGCAACGAGCCGACCTGAAATAGGGTGCTGACGTCAGCGCTGATGGCATCCACATTGGACTCTGAGAGGCGATTCAGGAGACCTGCAGAGGAGGGGAGCGGGGGCAACGCGGGATGAGATCATGAGATGCAGGAGGGGGGCGGGGTAGGGGCAGTGAGACATTCTCCTCTCAGGAGCGTGGTGGCATCCCCGTTGGACTCTGAAAGGCGATTCAGGAGACCTGCAGAAAAAGAAGGCGGAGGGGAAAGTGGGGGGAAGTAAAGGGCGGAGGGAAGGGGGGAGGCAGGGGGGGGGGGTGGGTGGGGTACAGGGGGAAGGCGGATCTAGAGACTTGCAGGCAACATCGTAAGGGGGAGGGGGAGGGGGGGCATTGTGACGGGGAGAGGAGTGGTGTGGGGAGGGGAAGAGCCATGAGGGAGGAGTCACATTTGAGAATTATCAAGAGTGCAGAGGTCAAAACTTCTACAATAACCTTAACCCTTCAAGAAGATACTTGGACTAGAAACAAATCAGGATAAATTAAAAAGAGATCAAGCAAGCCGTTGGATCAACAAGAACACAAAACCGTCGGATCACTCGCTGCTGCCCATCAATATCGTCCTCCTCCTTTCCTCCTCCGTTCCTCCTCCGTTCCTCCTCCGTTCCTCCTCCGTTCCTCCTCCTTTCCTCCTCCGTTCCTCCTCCTTTCCTCCTCCGTTCCTCCTCCGTTCCTCCTCCGTTCCTCCTCCTTTCCTCCTCCTTTCCTCCTCCTTTCCTCCTCCTTTCCTCCTCCTGCTAGTCTGCTGTACTTCCTTCTGACACCTCCTCCCAGCCTTCGGATCATGCCACGCTCACCTTTCAGCCGTCGGATCACCCGCTGCCGCTCAGCAGCATCATCCTCGTCCCCTGCTCCTCCTGCCGCCGCTCGTCTCAAATGAGGCGGCACATACTTTCCCCCTTCTCCTACTTCTTTAATCGCCAGCGCACTCATGGGCTTTGCTCCTTCCGCTGTTGCCACTCCACCCACCTCTTCCTCATCGTCCTCCCACTCCTCCCCTTCCTCTTCCTCCTCTTCTTCATCCCCCTCCTCCCCCTCCTCTCCCTCCTCACTATCATCATCTGACCATTCCCCATCACCCTCAAAAGAACCCAGTGATCCCTCTTCCTCCTCTTCCAACTCTCCCTCCTCCCCCTCCTCTGCCTCCTCTTCTTCCTCCCCTTCCTCTCCCTCCTCTCCCTCCTCTCCCTCCTCCCCTGCTTCCGCTTCCTCTCCTTCCTCGCTCTCCTCCTCTCCATCCACCATCCCATCCTCACTATAATCTTCCTCACTAAACCCTTCCAAATCCTCCTCTTCCTCATCCTCCTCCTCATCTTCCGAATCCCCTAAACCTCCTTCCATCCCACCCCACTCATCCTCCTCATCACTCCCCCCAAACCCCAAAAACCCTTCCAAACCGTCCTTAGACCCTGGCAAAACCCCGCCCTTCACATTCAGCTTCTTCGCGAGCACCCTCTCCTCCTCCTCCTCCTCCTCTCTCACAGTCATCCCTCCATTCTCTTCCATCTCTAACAACCTCTCAAAGTTGGTCATCCTCCTCCTCTTCCCCTCCCTCTCCTCCCCACTCTTCCCCTCTCTCTTCCCCTCCTTCTTTCCTACTTTCTTCCCTTCTCTCTTATCTTCTTTCGTCCCTGCTTGCACCTTCTCTTTCTTTCCACCCCTCGCCGCCTCTCGCGCTCCTGTCCCCGTGCCCTTCCCCACAGCACCCCCCACCATCTCTTTCCCCCCGCCACTTGCCACCTCCGCCGCTTTCCTCTTTCCGCCAACAGCAGCAGTTCCGCTCTTTCCCGCTGCTACAGTGCCGCTTTGTCCCATCCGACCAACCTCTTTCGTTAAACCCTGCTTTCCCCCCGCCCCCTTCCCCTGATCATCTCTCCCCCGGGCACCTGCCTCCCCCGCTTGAACCTTCCCCCCGCCATGGCCCTCCCCCTTCGCCTGCGCCTGACCCCCTCCCGTTGCTCCACCTGCTCCCTTCCCGCCCCCCGTGCCTGCTTCCGCGCCCCCCGCGTTTGCCCCTGCGCTCCCCGCCTTCCGTCCCCCCACGCGCTGCTGCGCCCATTCCTGTCGCTTCTGCTGCTTCTCCTGCCGCTGCTGCCGCCGCTGCTCTTTCCGCGATAAACCCTTCTTGCGCGGTAAACCCGAAACCCTGCCCTCGTCGTCTGCGTGGTTGCAGGGGGCGGGGGGGGGGGGGGGGGGGGAAGAGGAAAAAGGCATTGAGGCGTCTCGCAGCCTATTCGATATTTAAGAGTATACAAGCCGGAAACCTGAATCTGTTCAGTATTCTCCAATAACAGCCTCGGTTTCAAAATTATTGGCAGAATCAGACCGAAACGGCAGTAGCGATTCGATCACCTAGCACTGCAACGCGATCATGGATTAGTAGTCGTACACCGTTGGTCACTAATTAGTAGTCATAAACTCGTACTTAAGAAGGAGTAGTTAGTGACGGCGAGGAAGCTATTCGGAGCGGCCTACCAGAAAGCGCCACGTCATCATCGTCATCGTCGGGCTCTTGAAGCTGCTGCTGCAAGGAGAAGGGCAGCGACGGACCACCACGTGGCGGACCACGTGGCGCGAAACGGCCTCCCGGGCGGCCCATCAGCGTGCGTGACTCTACCGGACTGAACTCGTACAATCACCCGGGCGTGAGCGGTGACTGTGGAAGCAAAACGACGGCCTAAATGGAGACGGACAGCACGACGCAGGTTTCGCGACGGTGCTCTCGAAGTATGTGCGAGTCGAGTCGCAGAGCATCTGCTGCGTTGGTGTTGCTGGAAAATGTATAGGTGTGCTTCTTTTCCCAGACACACGGAAGGCTAGCTAGGTAGCACACCGAAACAAACCACTGTAGTTACACGCGTAGAAATATCTTGATGAAGACGCCTATAAAGGGAATACCGGTACTCATTACACGCGTCCTTACGAACTGAGAGTAGGTCAACACCAGCAGATTTACGAGAGGCGAGATTTTAGACGGTTCGTAAGTTGGACATCTCTTTATGTGGGGTAATTCAACAAGTGTCCTTGAAACTTGATTACAGAAACCAGCACATGCAAGAAATTGGCATGTTTCGTAGAGCCTAATCGCCAGAACAGGGCTGATTTAGTTTGACCTGAATCTTGCAAGCAGCAGAACCTTGCTCTGACCAATTAAAAATAAAACTGAAGCTACATCCACTGGGCTATTTGGCCCCTCGACAGGGCCTTGGTCTTACAAAAAAAGGCTCACAACTGCTAACTCCAAACTCCTAATGCATCCATTCACGACCACAGCAGCAGTGTGGCTTCAAGTCGCAGCAGCAGCTCTAGCCTCGCTCACCTCGTACCGCCACACACAGCAATTTCAATGGCATATCCTTTATCCAATCCAATCCGTTTCCCACATCCTCAGCACCACAGCAGCATAAGGGGCCCCCACCCACCGCGCACGTTGACTAATGATTCGCCCCATGCAGATATCCTGTTCGAGCCAAAGAACTCTAAACTACAGCACTACCACCACCACCACTGGCAGCAAGGCTTTCCTTTCCTCGTACGCTGCCCTGCCCACACAGCAGCAGCGCTGGAGATAATCCAATTCAAGGCTTTCAGCCCGAGACTTCTAGACTGCAGCACCTTCACCAGCAAGGCTTTCCTCGTACGCTGCCCACCCAGGAGCTGCGCAGGAGATGATCAAATTAAAGCCCGAGACTTCTAAACTGCAGCACCTTCACCAGCCGCAGCAGCAAGGCTTTCCTCGTACGCCGCCCACCCAGCCTCACGATACTTCCTGGCAGCTTCCAGAGGGTCGGCCGCCTTGATGATTCCCCGGCCCACGATGATGATGTCAGACCCCCGCTGCTTGATCACCTGGGGGTGGAGAGCGGTTGAGAGAGGTAAGAGGGGGTCAGGGGGCACAGCACATGAGGAGGAAGGGCGCAGAGGGGGTGTTCCCGACTTGATGATTCCCCGGCCCACTATGATGATGTCAGACCCCCGCTGCTTGATCACCTGGGCAAGTGGGGGGGGAGGGAGGAGCAGGGGTTGAGGGGGGTTGAGAGAGGTAAGAGGGGGTGTTAGGTGTAGGACGAATGGGCCAAGGGTCTGCTGCTGACTCTACGGACCGCTATGAGAATGATGAATGGGCCAAGGACCGTCGCAGCTTGACCACCTCACCACACCACACCACACCACACCACACACCCACCCTTCATCAGGTCACCGCGTCCGGAGTGTTGTATTGCTGCCCCAGCGCATCCCCCCCCGCTGCCAGCTGCACGCCAGGCGTCATGTGCACCAATGCATCTCACACCCCCGCTGGGCTCCGTTCCTAGCAACAAACTAGCACCACTGCGATCCCTTCCACTTCCACAGCATCCCTAAAACCACCCATCCATCACCCTCTCACCGCGTCCGGAGTGTTGTACTGACAGCACCTGCAATAGGGCGTCCCCTCCCCACCAGCCGCAAGCTGTGTGGCAAAAGACGCGTCCTGCGTCTAGGACGCTTGCGTCCAGACGCAGCATCTTAGACGCAGGACGCTAGAGGAGGGCCTTTAGGACGCATGAAAAAACGCATGCCCGGGCAGGGCAAAAAAACCCCCGGGCAGCCAAAAACTGATGTCATAGGGTATGGAAAGGGGGGGGGGGACGACGATGCACACATTTGAGGCAAAATCGTGTCAGAATGTATTTGCTGTCTAGCCTGCAGTGGGGTACTCTGTAATGAGTACAACCCAATTTAGGGTGTTGTACTTGTATCCCAACTCTTGCTAGTGAAACCTCATTCCTCTCCTTCCAAAACCTCTCGATACTTTTCCTAAACTCCAACTCAACTACCAAGGCTCCTAAACTATGGCTCCTAAGCCAAACTCACGCTAGTATTTTGTTATGTTATCAGAGCTTAACGTTCCTGGCCTGTGGGCCCACTCGATTCCGCTGCCCTACTGTGTGTCACGCGCCCCGTGGCGCGCGACATCCCATTTTTCTTCCCGCCACGCGCTCCCGCCGTGCGCCCCGAGGCGCGCGGCGGGTTCCTACCTCGTCGCGGCGTCTTAGGGGCCCGCGCACTGGCCCCGACCGTCGCCTCGTCGAGGCGTTTTGGGGGCCTGCACGCAGGTCCCTCCCGTCGCCTCGTCGCGGCACTTTCGGGGCCCACGAGCCGGCCCCTCCCGTTGCCTCGTCGCGGCGCCTTAGGGGCCTGCGCGCGGTCCCCTCTCGTTGCCAGTCGAGGCACTTTTGGGGACCTGCGCGGCTCCCTAGCACATCGCCCGTCAGGGCACAATGGGGGCCGCGCCCTTCCCCTCCCCTCCCTCCTACTTTCCGCTGCAGCAGCCGCCCCTGGAGCCGCCGCCCCTGAAGCAGCCGCCCCTGGAGCGGCCTGCCTTGCAACAGCAGCCGCCCCTGGAGCAGCCGCCCCAGCAGCAGCAGCCCCTGGAGCAGCCGCCCCAGCAGCAGCAACCCCTGGAGCCGCCGCCACTGCAGCAGCCGCCCCAGCAGCAGCAGCCTCTGGAGCAGCCGCCCCAGCAGCAGCAGCCCCGCCCCAGCAGCAGCAGCCCCTGGAGCAGCCGCCCCAGCAGCAGCCGCCCCAGCAGCAGCAGCCCCAGCAGCAGCAGCCCCTGGAGCAGCCGCCCCAGCAGCAGCAGCACCTGGAGCAGCCGCCCCAGCAGCATCAGCCCCAGCAGCAGCAGCCCCTAGAGCAGCCGCCCCAGCAGCAGCAGCACCTGGAGCAGCCGCCCCAGCAGCAGCAGCCCCTGGAGCAGCCGCCCCAGCAGCAGCCGCCCCAGCAGCAGCAGCCCCTGGAGCAGCCGCCCCAGCAGCAGCAGCCCCTGGAGCAGCCGCCCCAGCAGCAGCAGCCCCTGGAGCAGCCGCCCCAGCAGCAGCAGCCCCTGGAGCAGCCGCCTCAGCAGCAGCAGCCCCTGGAGCAGCCGCCCCAGCAGCAGCAGCCCCTGGAGCAGCCGCCCCAGCAGCAGCCGCCCCTGGCCCCTGCAGCAGCCGCTCCTGGACCCGGTGCAGCCGTGGGGGGGTGGGTGTGGGGGTGATGGTTGTGGGGGTGTCGGTTGTGCGTGCCGTTCCCTCCTCCTCCTCCTCCTTCGTCTCCCACTGCTGCAGCTCTCGCTGAGGGGGGTGGATGTGTGGGAGTCTGGGGTTTAGGGTTTAAGGGGGTGCTGTGGGTGTAGGGCTAGGGTTTGAGCAGGGGGTGTGTGAGAAGGGCGTTAGGCAGCTGGGGAGGTCGAGTGGAGGCAGCAGTCTTGTCGTCAGCAGCAGCAGCAGTCCGGAGGCTACAATCTCCGGTAGTCGCCAGTCGCCCGTGGGTCCGTTGCTCGTCTGCCGCTACTTTTAGCCGCGGGGCCAGTTACCCCAGTAGTCCGGAGCGCTGTTCCGGTAGCCACTGAGCCAGCAGCTCGTCTGTGTGTCTGCAGCGTCAGCAGTCGCCTCTCATCTTCTCTCCCCCACAGTCTCTCCTCCTCCTCACTTGCCCTCTGTGATTAGCTCTAGCCTTACTTACCTATTGTGAACTCTTGCTCTATGCTTGCTCATTGTGCTGATTACACCCCACTTTGGCTATGGGGGTGTGTCAGAATGTATTTGCTGTCTAGCTTGCAGTGGGGTACTCTGTAATGAGTACAACCCAATTTAGGGTGTTGTACTTGTATCCCAACTCTTGCTAGTGAAACCTCATTCCTCTCCTTCCAAAACCTCTCGATACTTTTCCTAAACTCCAACTCAACTACCAAGGCTCCTAAACTATGGCTCCTAAGCCAAACTCACGCTAGTATTTTGTTAAATCGTTCCCTCAGGGTTTAGGTTTACGAAGGAGAATTGTCTTGGTAAACCCTCTGGGGTGTTTTTGATGGTCGAAATGGGTTAGGGGGGGTCGACATGACGCGAAATTGACAGTCGCGTCGAAATCGTTAGTCAATTTCGCACTGGGGCAAAAAAAAAAATTTCCGGTCAGCCCGAAAAAAAAAACGGGGTGCGTCCTGCGTCTCTGCGTCTGGACGCTGCGTCCAGACGCAGGACGCAGCAGGACGCGTGCGTCTTTCTCCACTTGCACCCCCCGTGTCACGTGCACCAGCCCATCCCACACCCTCGCTGCTTGCAGCATTACTCGCACCACCACACCAGTAGCACCAGCACACCCCCCGTGTCATGTGCACCAGCACCACCCACCACGCATCATCAACTCACCGCATCTGGAGTGTTGTATTGCTGCCCCAGCGCGTCCCCTCCAGCAGCCAGCTGCACGCCAGGCGTCATGTGCACCAGGGTATCCCACACCCCTGCCGCCTCCGCCTCCCTCACTGCCGCTGCCAGCTCCTCACACGCCCCACCACCAGCAGCAGCAGTGCTACCACTGCACCACCCCCCCGGGTGGATGGAGATGAAGCCGATGACATAGTCCGGGTCGGTGAGCGCCATTCGCAGCGTCGAGGCCGTGTAGGTGGAGTGGGCTAGTGTGCCTGCCGAGCTCATCTCGGCTAGCAAGAGCAGGGAACCCCCCTGGTGGGGGCAGGAAAGGGGAAGGGCAGGCAGCAGGGGAAGGGGAGGTGGGTCAGCAGCAGCAGTAGCAGCAGCAAATACCACCACTAGCAGCAGCAGCAGTGCTATCAGTGCGCCACTCCCCCGGGTGGATGGAGATGAATCCAATCACATAGTCCTCCCTCCCGAGATGACACAGTCATCTCGGCGATTAGGAGGAGAGAGAGCCGCCCTGATGGACGGGGAGGGGGAGGAGAAAGTATGCGCTTTCGGAATCGCACCCCCAGCTTCTAATTGGAAGAAACCCCATCCCACCTCACTCCACCCCACCACACCCCACCCTACCCGTAGCTTCTGTTGGAATCCTTGAATGAAGCCTGGCCCCAAGACACCCTTACATGTAAGCTTACCCCACCCTGTACCACCGCACCCCAACCCGATCCACCACTCTCCATCCCACCATACCTTCTGCTTGAGCCCCTGGATGATGCCTGGCCCTGGGACACCATGAGCGTTGATTATGTAAGCCCATTCCAACATCTTAGGCCCATGCATGCAGTGGCTCACATATAACCCCACCTCCTCACCCCACCAGGTTCCACCGCACCCCACCCCGCTCAACCTCACAGCACCCAGCCCGTACCTTCTGCTTGAGTCCCTGGATGATGCCTGGCCCCGGCACGCCATGCGCATTGATGATGTCAGCCCATTCCGAGATCTTGTAGACGCCCCTGGGAGCAACGAGGGGAAGGGTAGGAAGGGTAGGAAGGGATTGGGAGAGGTGGGGAGGAGAGAGGGACACACATGATGCCTAACTCTGGCACACCATGAGCGTTGATGATATCAGCCCATTCAGACATCTTGTAGATGCCCCTGCAAGCAATACGTGGAGTAGGAATGGGAGTTAGGGTAAGAGGAGTGGGGGTGTTGAGAAGTCAGAGTAAGTGTGAGTGTAAAAGAATTGACAGTAGGCGTGGCATATGGAGGAGTGCTGATAGCAGGATGCTGACATGCGGGGAACTTCATCCGCAGTACTGCAGCGTAACCAGGTTACCACTCACCCGCCGTACTGCATGGTAACCATGTTACCAATGTCGGCAAACTTGCGATCTTCAAACACCAGGAAGTCCAGACGCGTGGCAATCTGCAGCAGCAGCAGCAGCAGCAGCAGGAGGAGGAGGAGGAGGAGGAGGAGGAGGAGGAGGAGGAGGAGGAGGAGGAGGAGGAGGAGGAGGAGGAGGACGCCACAGCAGGAAGAGGAGCAGCGGAGGGAGGAGAAAGGGATTGAAGAGAGGAGCACAATCACTAGCCGCATTTCTTTCATAGCCTAGTGTTTGGGGACCGCGGCTTCTGCAAGCCTGCGATTCTCAAACACTAGACGCGCTTTTTGTCAACTCAAAAGTCAACCCACGGGTCAGCTGATACTATGAGTGCAAATGTTGAATAACATGGGCAGGGAGCTGAGAGGCAGAACAGGGCAGAGAAGGGGCGAGCGGGGAGCAGAGCAGCAAGAAGAAAAGAAGGTTGTTGAGAAAAATCGGAAACCAACTGGGCACGGTTACTGGGGGTGGTGTGCACGTTGGCGGCCCTGAAAGCCCAGGTGGATGGTGATGAACTATGAAAAAGCACACCATCGCTTGTTTACCCACACAGCCACTCATCACCGCACACAGCCGCTTTTCACCGCACGGCACCACTCACCTCGCGGATGCGCTTGCCAAACTCGGGAGTGAAGTCGGGAAGAATGTCCACGTGGGTCTTGAGCACACAGATCTCCGACCCGATCTGCGGGTGGTGTGAGGGGGGTTTGGGGGATAAGGTGCATGGGGGAATGTGCATGGGGGAATGTGCATGGGGAATGTGCATGGGGGAATGTGCATGGGGGAATGTGCATGGGGGAATGTGCATGGGGGAATGTGCATGGGGGAATGTGCATGGGGGAATGTGCATGGGGGAATGTGCATGGGGGAATGTGCATGGGGGAATGTGCATGGGGGAATGTGCATGGGGGAATGTGCATGGGGGAATGTGCATGGGGGAATGTGCATGGGGGAATGTGCATGGGGGAATGTGCATGGGGGAATGTGCATGGGGGAATGTGCATGGGGGAATGTGCATGGGGGAATGTGCATGGGGGAATGTGCATGGGGGAATGTGCATGGGGGAATGTGCATGGGGGAATGTGCATGGGGGAATGTGCATGGGGGAATGTGCATGGGGGAATGTGCATGGGGGAATGTGCATGGGGGAATGTGCATGGGGGAATGTGCATGGGGGAATGTGCATGGGGGAATGTGCATGGGGGAATGTGCATGGGGGAATGTGCATGGGGGAATGTGCATGGGGGAATGTGCATGGGGGAATGTGCATGGGGGAATGTGCATGGGGGAATGTGCATGGGGGAATGTGCATGGGGGAATGTGCATGGGGGAATGTGCATGGGGGAATGTGCATGGGGGAATGTGCATGGGGGAATGTGCATGGGGGAATGTGCATGGGGGAATGTGCATGGGGGAATGTGCATGGGGGAATGTGCATGGGGGAATGTGCATGGGGGAATGTGCATGGGGGAATGTGCATGGGGGAATGTGCATGGGGGAATGTGCATGGGGGAATGTGCATGGGGGAATGTGCATGGGGGAATGTGCATGGGGGAATGTGCATGGGGGAATGTGCATGGGGGAATGTGCATGGGGGAATGTGCATGGGGGAATGTGCATGGGGGAATGTGCATGGGGGAATGTGCATGGGGGAATGTGCATGGGGGAATGTGCATGGGGGAATGTGCATGGGGGAATGTGCATGGGGGAATGTGCATGGGGGAATGTGCATGGGGGAATGTGCATGGGGGAATGTGCATGGGGGAATGTGCATGGGGGAATGTGCATGGGGGAATGTGCATGGGGGAATGTGCATGGGGGAATGTGCATGGGGGAATGTGCATGGGGGAATGTGCATGGGGGAATGTGCATGGGGGAATGTGCATGGGGGAATGTGCATGGGGGAATGTGCATGGGAACGTGCATGGGGGAATGTGCATGGGGGAATGTGCATGGGGGAATGTGCATGGGGGAATGTGCATGGGGGAATGTGCATGGGGGAATGTGCATGGGGGAATGTGCATGGGGGAATGTGCATGGGGGAATGTGCATGGGGGAATGTGCATGGGGGAATGTGCATGGGGGAATGTGCATGGGGGAATGTGCATGGGGGAATGTGCATGGGGGAATGTGCATGGGGGAGTTAGACAGGCAGACGAAGGCATGGGAGAATGTCCACGTGGGTCTTGAGCACACAGATCTCCGACACGATCCGTGAGAGGGGCGTGCGTGGGGGGGAGGGAAGGGAAGCGAACAGAGGTAAAGGAGGAGGCCATGTGAGAATGTCCACATGGGTCTTGAGGACGTAGATCTCCGACCCGATCTGACGGTGGGGTGTGTGTGCAAGAGATGAACCAGGAAGCACACTCGCAAGAGGAGGAAAGAGGGGAAGAAAAACGAGGGTTTCGGGTTTCGGGGAACGTCCACGTGCGTCTTGAGCACACGGATCATCGATCCAATCCCCGTGTTGCACTGCAAGTAAGGAGTTTGGGGTAGGGTTTTGGATGGTAGGGTTCAAGGTTCTGGCGAGGTTGGACATAGGGGTTTGGGATTGAAATCTCGGGTTTGGGGAAATGGGGGCGTGCAAGAGTGGGGGAGGTAGTTGGGAGGGGAAAGGGGGGAATGGAGCCGGCTTTGCCTGTCTATTGAGACTGCGCACCAAGAACATATGACCATGCCTGCAAGTGCAAGGTACTACAGTGTTCTTTTGCCACTGTAAGACGGTGGTAAGGGAATGTGGTGTGAGGGCACATCCTTCCCATTCCCTTCTGCCAGCCCCCCACACCCGCTACTTGCCCTCCTCCCACCCTCTCTCTTGTTCCTTTCACCTTCGCTCACCTTCTCCCACCCCCTTTATCCATCCCCACCCCCCCCACTTTCTTCTCCCTCCCCCAAAACGTTCCGCTCGCCCCGTTCCTCTCCCCCCGCCTGCTCACCGTTTCCGCCAGTTTGAGCAGCTCTTCCGCCGACTCCACGTCAGCAGCCACGGACAGGTTTGTCTTTTTCCGCTCCATGATCTCCCACAGCCGCCGCCCCACGTCGTTCTTCGCCAGGGCCGCGCGAGCGGCGTACGACTTTCGCGAAGGGGCGGCGGTTACAGGGGTAACCGTCACAGGGGGCGTGGGGGCGGCGGCGGGGGCTGCGGCGGGGTTTGCGGTTTGGTTTTCCGCGATGAATTTGCTGACGGATTCAGCCACGTCACTGGTCAGCTTGCCGTGCTTGACCAATGCCGTGACGACATGTGTCAGCGTCAGCGCCGCGTGGAGCCGCAGCCCCCGTGCCGCCAGATGGGCGGCGCCGCCTTGTTCCCTATCGATAAGGACAACAACGTCAGTTACTTTCAACCCGACTTCGTTAAGCGGTTCTACAGTTTCCATAACGGATGCTCCGCTTGTAACGAGGTCCTCAATAACGAGGCAATGCTGGCCGGTCTCGAAGGCCCCTTCGATGGCCTTCCTCGTTCCGTACCCTTTCACCTCCTTCCTTCGCATGACCATCGGCACGTTTCGCGAGAGCGAAATGGCCGTGGCGATGGGTAACGCGGTGTACGGGACTCCGCAGACGTTGTCGAATTTCGCAGCGGCGTCGGATTCGCCGACAACCGACGGGCACACGAGCGCCCACATCGCGTCGGCCACCTGCTGCAGCAGCTTCGGATACGATACAATCACGCGCAGATCTATGTAAATCGGCGACCATATTCCGCTCTTGAGCTTAAAACTGCCGAATTTCACGGCCTCGACTTCGTGCAACGCCAGCACGAGCGCATCGGACGGATCAGCCATTGGCGGAAGCGGGCAAGAGGGGGTTTCGACGAGATCGGACGGTCGAGATTCGTCGCTGGCGACGGATGAGTAGCTCGACGCGCCTGCCGCAGGAGCGGCGCTGGCGGAAGTTTTTTTCCGCGCGTGAGCGGGAGGGGATTCCGCGAATGGGTGCGCGAGGTGCGCGTTCCGCAACGCAGAAGTGCCGCGGGAAACAGCGCTAGCACGCTGAGGAGAGGGGCAGCGCGCAAACGCAGGGGAGCGGGACGCGGGGTCAGCACTAGAGGCGGAAGATGCGCTACTTCTCGAAGTAAAGGTTCGCGAGCTTGGGAGAAGAGAAGCCATGAACTGAAAGCTAGAAATAGGGCTCGAGCGCCATTGAATAGGGTGGGAGTGGTGGGGCGGAATGGGGGGCGGGCAGCCCAGGGGACAGGGTCTTAGGGATTTGGGTTAGAGGGAAGCGCATTGGGGTTGGGTCGCTCGTTGGTGGACATGTGCTGGCACGAGATGGCACGACAGCTCAGGTTATACTCGTTACTACTCGATACTGGACCATATTACTAATGAAGAACTAAGGTCCCAAAGAGTTGTTGTGCAGCTGAATAACATAAACTGCTATTTTCTATGCGTTGATTGCAACCAAGCATGCTTGCACTCAGCTCAGCAGCTAAAAACCCTGTATACAAACCCAATTCTCGACAACTCCACTCCTCAATCCAGTTCTCCTTGAAGTTCCCGTATCCTAACCTCCATAGGCACTCCCACAACCACCATGGCACGGAAGCACTTTCCGTGCTCGTTTCCTCCTCCTCACCTTTAACCCCCTGTTCCCTCCTCCCCCCCCAATCCCTCTCCCCGTTTCCCCTCACATCCATCACCATTTCCCCCCAATCAGACAGTGAGGGAAGGGATGAATCCATGGCTAGAACGTCAATGCTTGGATAACCTGAGAACTGCCCAAAAAAACAAGTGCGGGCGGGCCGGATCACTTCTGATACAGACCACCCTGCTTACCCCGCCACTGTTCTCATACCCTCGTCACTGCATGTGCCTCCTTTCGTCCTCCCCTCCTCCCCTCTTCCCCCTCGTCCCCCCCCCCCCTCCTCCCGTCCTTCCCTCCTCTCCTCGTCCACCCCTCCCCCTCCTCCAATCCTCCCTTCCTCCTCTCACCTCCTCTTAGCCCCCTTCACCATTGCCTTCCCATGCTGGGAAAATAATACGGCTTGAATGCCCAAAAAACAAATACAGGCAAGGCGATTCACCCTGATAAGGACCCCCCCACTTCCTCCGTATCCCTTCTCATATCCTCGTTTCCCCCATTTAACTCTCCCTCCCGAATACCCTCTCCTACCTCCCCATCCCCACCCCCACAGTGCCCGGGGCAGTGCTTTCCATGTCCGTGCCTGTGCCTCCGCCTCCTCCTCCCACTGCTCCTGCCTTCACCATTTCCCTCCGACCCCATTGGTGCAGAGGAGGAAGAAGGAGCAGAAGCATTTGCATCTGCTCCTCCTTCTCTCGGCCCCCCTGCACTCCCTGACCTGCCAGCATCTGAATTTGCCTCTCCCATGCCTCTTGCATCGTCCCGCCCTCTTCCCACCCCGTTATTGTCACCATCGCTGCTGTCACTCTCGCTGTCACTGCTACTGCTGCTGCTACTGCTGCTCTCGCCGAAGGGCCGCTGCTTGTGGAAAATGCAGCACCCTATATTGGGGACGACGGGATGTAGGGAAGGTGCAGGGGTAGAAAAAAAAAGGTTCAAGCTGGTTTCACGAACTCTCAACAACAGCCTGTAGCTTGTATTGTAGAAAACGAAGGGCTCTATACAGAGGTTTAGCAGCGTGAGGAAGGAACAGAACAGAGGTAGGTAGAGGAAGAAGAGTCCGAATCGGAAAGAAAGAGCAAGCTAAACCGCCTCACAATGCACCCCGCATATGCTGCATAGGAAAGACAGACACTCACTCTTGGACCCTTTTTTTGTTCAGATGCTCGTGTTACACTGTTCCCCCCCTCCACTGCACTCTAACCTGCAACGTTTGAGTTGACCCAAACCACATGATGCATGGATGCATGCGGTGCATGAGTAGAGACGCACTCACTCTTTGATTTCTTCTTGTTGAGATGCTCGTTGTCCACTGTTCCCTCCCTCCACTGCACTCTCCCGACCAAGTGACGTTTGAATCGACTGAAACCACATGATGCAAGGACCCATACGGTGCGTGAGTAAGTCAGACACTCACCTGTCGCCTCTTCTTGTTCAAAAACTCACTCTTTGATTTCTTCTTGTTCAAATGCTCGTTATCCACTGTTCCCTCTCTCCACTGCACTCTCCGTCGGGGTGCCAACCGGATCACCACCTGATCCACCACGGCTGCTTGGACGGCCCAGATTGGACGAACAACAAATGCAAGGGAAGACATTAGGCCGCAATCAGAAACCAAAACTGGATACGTTGTGGCAATTGGAGCACCAGTGGATCAAACTTACCTGATCTGGACGGTGGGGATTGAACGCAGGGTAGGAATTCAATGTGATGGGAACACAATGAGATGGGTAAGGAGCACGGGCGAGCACAAAAGCTCAAAGCATGTATCCAGGAGAAGCAGTTGAACGCACAAGGAGACAGAAAATGGTAACAGTCCACAACAACTACCAACCAACTAGGTTTGGTTTAAAGGTTGCACATTCCATCCTAGACGCTAGCTGAAAAAAGATTTGTTTGGGACGCAACCAGCTAGGTTGGAAAGTTGTACATTCCATTCCAGCCTAGGCGCTAGGAAAAACAAGCAAGATGTCGTTGGGAGTGGGGAAGATGAGAAAGGGTTCGACAGATGGCTCATTACACAAACAATACAAGGTTAGAAAGATTTGAGGTGCGGGTTGAACATGTGTACAGGCAACCGCGATGGGGCAAAAGTCGAGTCGACTCACACAACAGACAGCTTTCTCAGGCACCTCAGAAACAGAATGCTCATAACTGTAACCGCAGCAAGTGGCCGGCCCTTACCAGCTTGCCACGTTACTGTGGCTTTTGATATGACTCAAAAAGACATGCTCATATCATAACTGCAACCGCAGTAACCGGCCCTTACGTGCTTGCCCCGTTACTGTAACCGCAGCTGCGTTCCTCGTAGCCTTTTCACTCTCCACCTTACTCAAAAGACAAACACACGGCAGAAGGCCGCTAGCTTCTCACTCCGTAACCGTAACCGCAGTGGAGGCGTTGCTGACTACCCGTTCGGCTCCCCATGCTGCTAGTCTCGCAACAGATTTGCGGCGTCTCAAAAGCGGTCATTTGCTTGCTCCATGACTGTAACCGCAGTAGCATTGCTAGTAGCCGTTGAATCGACACAAAAGACCCGGCGGGAGATGGTTACCTGTTTGCTCCGTGATTGTAACCGCAGTTGCGTTCCTCGTAGCCGTTTGGTTGGCCATGCTGCTTACTCCTCCTGGGATGCAGACCAGCGCGCAAGAATTATCGTGACGACGAGTCACGAGGAGAGCGGTGCTAAGGTGTTG